ATTTCTTTATTTTCTCTGTGCAACAAATCAACAGCCTCCATATTTTTTTTACTTTATACATAGGCAACTATTTCCCCATTTATCTACTTCACATGTTTCGTCATCCTCATCCTCACATTTCTTGATAACTGCTTCATCACTTTATTCTCCTTCGCGTTTTAGCTTTCTTGGCTATATCCATAGAGGCTGAAGCTACCCAGTTGTATTCTTTAGTTATTAGCTTCTGCTCTCGTTTCTTACAGATCTTTTTATTTCTTAACTTGACAATTACCGTATTTTTTGGAGCATAAGACGTACCTTTTTACCCCTTAAAAGTGGATGAAAATTTGGGTATATCTTATACACTGAATATAGACTCACTCACCCGTCGGCCTCCCAGCAATTTACTTCCCTGCAGCAAATGAGGGAAATTGGGCTTCCGGAGGCAGCAATAGACTATGGCAATCCCTGCAGCTTGAAACAGCTGATGATCGGGAGGCCCAAGCTGAAATTGAAAGTCAAACTTGCTGTTTGCTGCATAGAAGCAATGAAGAAATGGCTGGGAGGCAGATTTTTTTTCTTATGCTAATCAGGCTGTTTGTTGCAAGAAGGGTAAATTAATAACTATAAATGCCTATAGAATGTTCAAATTATTAGACTTATTTTTTAAAGACTGCTTTATTATTGTTCCAGACAACTTAACAAAATTAAGAAGCTTTTTAAAATAAATGCTTGATCTGAAGAGACCCATTGTTATCTTCTTTTAAATAGCAGAGAATAATATATACTTCCAGAAAGTCACATCATTTTTAACAGCTTCTGTACAAGTATAGTCTGAAATGTAACAGTGTCCTATTGTCCAATTAGACCCTGACGTAGTCATGTTTGGAGTAGATCTATTTAAATAATTGGGAGGAGTTACTGTAATTACATTTTAAAAAAACTTTATGGCATTAAATATACTGCCATAATGTACATTTCTCCAATTCTTTGTTATTTCTATGGGTCAAGCACACATGCTCAGAAATATACTGACAGGGGTTATTGTCTGTACTATTTGGTGTTGGAGGCAAATTGCTGGGAGGCAGGGGCAGTTTTTTCCCCTTGTTTTCCTCCCCAAAAGTTAGGTGCAACTTATACTTTGGAGCATCTTTTCCTCTGAAAAATATGGTAGATTGATTTTGGCATTACTTTACTATTGAAGTTCTTATTTGCCTTCTCCTCACAGAGATTGACCCTATCCTTATTTTATTTTTCAGTCTTCTCAACTCTTGTGCTTATTTATTTTTGAAATGTTGAGACATCATATTTTATTCACCTGATTTCATTCAAAACAGCTTTCTTGAAATCCATTGTCCATGACTGACCTCAGCTTTTTTTCTCTTGAACCTTACTTGAATTCCAACCCAACATGGCCATTATTTCCCAAAGTGCTGATATCTTTATTCCATTCATTACTCCTTCTGTCTAAAAAAATGAAAATATCAGAGGGAGAAAAAACATTGGAATTCCCATACTAGGAGAATTGGTTTTACAACATATATCAGATAGTTGAATTCCTGCCCTCTTGTAAACATGATTTAGAAAAGCATTATTCACATTATGTGCATTGGTGTAAACTTCATCACATAAAGATACAACTTTTCTTCTTACTCTTTTTGTCTTACCTAGATGCTTTTAATGGAACTAGTATATTCAAGATAATTAATTTCTTTCTATACAAATCTTTCACTTCTCTTTTTGTTCTGTGCATCTTTTTAAAAAGTTGTCATATTTAGCTTTTGTGTTCTAATCAATCTCTCATCAATTAAATTTCCATGATAGCTTTTAGATTATACCTACTTTCTGAGAACTTTTTCTTTCAAATAGTTAGATTACTCCTCATAATGGCCTGCAGATCAACCTGTGATTTATCCCTTCCCAGCTTCCCAATTTCTGTTTTCAGAAGCAGAGGGTTGCAGGACGCCATCACAGCCAAAAATGGAGTTCGGGAACCTGTTTTTGCTGGCAAAGTGCTCAGGCCACCACGGGGCTCCCTTGACACGAGTAATGTCATGTTGGCCATGCTCACTCCACACCTCAGGGTCAAACACAACCCTGATGTAGCCCTCAATGAAATCAAGTTTGACACCCCTGTAATAATGCTTCAACAATGGAAAAACATGTGGATGAAGGATTTAAAATTTATAGTATAATTTAATGAATAATTTTAATAAAATGATGTACCATTGGTATTTAAAATCCAATAAACTGTCGAAGATGTTTAAAGATATTTCAAATGGATGTGTCAAGCACAACAAATCAGGAACCAAGGTTGTTCAAATGAGTACAATCCATGCTAGTTTACTACAAAATTCTAAATTAACAGTCAGGTCAAATTGATGATAGATAAGGGTCAGTGAAATTCAAGAAGGGCTAGATTCAGATCTTTTGTAGGCATGAAAAGATTTCAAACTGATGAGGGACTTAACATTTCCCTTGAGCCCAGGCTGGTCATCTCCTACAGTATGTTGGAAGTGTAAATGCAAACAAGGAACTTTTTACCATCTTTGATGGACTTGTGATAAAGAAAAGAAATATTGGGATAAGATTCATATTTTAATACAGAAGATTCTTAAGTGAATATAAAAATTAAACTAAAGACTTTTCTTTGGGATAAGAATGGACAAAGAACTTGAAAAAGATCTGAAACTTTGTTATTATATATGTTGATAGCAGCAACAATGCTTTATGCACAAAATTGAAAGATAGTCTAATTTCCGCAATGATGAAAAGCCGGCAAAATGATAGAATAGTAGAGATGGCTAAATTAACTGCTTTAATCAAGAAAGGAATAGATCCAACTTTATTTCCACTTAAAACTATTTCTAGATTTTGTCCTTGAGGCAGGAAAAAAAGAAACTTTGGCATTGGGTTTTGCTGTTTAGAGATGTTTGTTGTTATAGAAATGGATAGTACATGTTAAGTATGTAAAAGTAAAAAATTGAGGCTATTTGTTATTATTTTATTCTAAGCACTAAAAGGAATTGGATGTCAATGCTTTTCTCTCCCCCCCCCTTTACTTATACTTCTTTCTTTTCCCCTTCCTCTTCACCATATTCATACTATTTTCATTTTCATTTCATACATTGCTAAATGTAATAAAGTTATTATATAATCTGATCTGGAATTTCATAAAAGCAACTGGATACAGATGCATTGAAGACTTGGTCAACTAGCATCAGCAATCAATATGAGAACTAGAAGGCAAGGTTGCACCCAAACCAATAGCTCCACAATCCCCAAGTCTCCACCTCAGCTTCCAAACATATTCATCCTTCACTCCAATACAACCCAACTTCATCTATCTCCATCCAACTACACTAATATACTACAATACACTCAATGGGCTGCTACAACATTCCACAGTAATTCTGCTCCTGTCCATAGATATTTCAGCAGTCCAAATATGCAATGCTACTGCAGATAGACCATCTACCCACATTTATTCATTTATTTACAAGACTTCCATGGTGGCCTATTTCATAAAACGACTATAGGTGGCTCACAATTATCTATAAAATGTAGCTAAAAACAAAGGTATCCTTCCCCCCCAGGTGTCAGGTTAAACATTAACACAGTTCAACCCGTATCTTAGACAATAGGACAGAATAGCCAGGTATTCACAGGCCTACAGAAAGCTAAAAATATAGAAATCTCTTTGATTCTGTTCCAAAGGACTGAAAAAGTCACCCACGACACACCTCCAAGATTGTATCAGATGGCAACATTTAAGGAAAGGGACATAGATTACACTCAGTCTATCTAACCTAGTAAGATGGACAGATACTCAAAGGGAGAGATGGACCTGCAAGTAACATAGTCCTGTGCCATATATAACTTAAAAGTTGATAACCAATAGCTTGAATTGTACTCTTTATTGTTGCTTAAAAACAATTAACTGTGGGATTTCACTGACAGAGAATTAACTTCCTGCTACAAAATATATAACTTTTATGTCTATGGAGATTCTCAGTCATTCATGTCATGGTTATCCCAAAGGTGCTTTTTTCAAGAGCCAACTGGACTTTCTGGTTTTTCTTTGAAGACATTCATTCTTCAGAGCTGAAGAAGCTTCTTGGATGAGAAGCGAAATAGCTTCAAAGAAAAAAACAGAAAGTCCAGTTGCCTCTTGAAAAAAGCATCTTTGGGACATCTCTGGGAGAGTGTTATCTCATTCAGAGTCACAGATGTCAACACTTCTGATACTGTGGAGTGGGAGATCGCAACCACTCCATTATGCTGATGACACTGAATCCCATGCTGGCTGATGCAGATAGCTCCAGCAGCTTCATATTGATGTTACTGTAAGTAGCACAATGACTTGAGCCCTAAGGCACCCATATAATATGTGCCCAAGACTGGACCACTCTTCTTCAACCAGAATTTACTGCTACCAGCCACAAAGAAAGGAAAATCACTTCAAAACAGAACTCCTGATGTCAGTCCCCAGAATTGATCCAGTAAAATATTGTAGTCAATAGATTCAAAAGCTGCTGAAAGACCCAGCTTTAAAAGCTGCTAGGAGAATGGATGCAGCATCCTCATCCTGAACCATCTAAAGGTAATTGACAAGTACAATCAAGTATGTTTCAGTACTGAACTCTAGAGTCTAGATGAAAAAAACCAGAATCTTATGAAAACTAACATTCTCACAAGATTTTAGCAATTTAGAAAAAAAAATCTTACAATAAAATTTAATTGAAAGAACAGAAACAGCATGATTGACTTTTTTTTCTTTAGTGCAGGAAAGAATGGATAATATATTGTGCTATGATCGATTCTGAAATCAATTTGGTCCTCAACCTGCCCTGATACAAATGTAACACAAACCAACAGTAGACCTGGAACCTTCCTTCACAACTACTAAAATCAAGGGAGATTTCAAACATTCTCCAGATACAGATTTATTCTGAAAGAGAAGTCTGAATCTAGAAAGTATGTCCAAATGGCAACTAATGCAATGAATGGTAAATTCTTACCTCTTTCACTAGCATCATCTACCAGGATAATTTCTTCCAGCATATATCTTGGTGATCTGTTTATTACACTATGAACAGTTCTCAAGAGAGTACTCCAAGCTTCATTATGAAAAACAATTACAACACTTGTTGTAGGAAGATTATCAGGATACATTTTTGTCTTACAGCTAAAAATATAAAAATAATTACAATAATTACAATAAGTGTGCTTGTACTGCAATTTAGTATAGAATATAAAACATGTTCTATACTATAATATTAAACAATCTTGGCAGGTACACACTAGAATAATTTTGAGGCAGCTAGAAAAACAGTTTCTTGAACAGTTTCTACAAGGGCAAATTATAGTAATAATTAAAACTGATAAATTAACCAATAAAGCATACAAAGTCCTAATATTTAATAAAACATCATATCTGAAAAAAATAAATTATTTTTCTATTTGATACCAAAATAGTAGAACATTTCACATTTCAGATGCAGTTTCAGAAGATGTTTTACTCCCTATAACTACTTGCTAAACTTTATCAGTCAAGATAGCTAGACCCTAACCCTAACCCTTCTGGAGCTGTTCAAGTAGGTACATGCAGACATTGGGAATTTAAGCATATATATTTTAAAGCACTGGAAAACTGGAAAATCTGGCTATAAGTATCACCTTTATAATTAAATTGTTTAGAAACATGTCAAACATTTTTAGCAGGTATACTTCTTTCTTGAACGCAAGAATATCCTAGATTCATATATATGTATGTGTGTGTGTACATAGCAAGCTAAATGTTCTAGAAGGAGCTGAGACACACAGGTGGGTTGCTACTGGTTCAGCCGAACCGGTAGTGGCAGTGGGAGGCTCTGCACACCTGCCCAGACACTTCTGCACATGTGCAGAAGTGTTGTGCATGTGCACGAGTGCAAGCACGAATGAACCGGTAGTAAAGCGGTTAGCAACCTACCACTGACGCGTGTGCACAAAACCATCACCTCTCTTCCCCCACCGCTGCCGGTCCATGCAGCCAGAAAAGTTGAGGACCCTTGTGCTAGACAACCCATGACCCATTGCATCATTGTTTCAGAGATATTTTCTCATCTTAATAGAAAAACAGAATGACCACAGGTAGGCAAAAAAGCAGGACCAATTTCCTATTGGCTTCCCCATTGAAGCTGGTAGAAAGGACTGGAAATGATCAACATATGCACACAGTTGATTGGCAGTGAAGTAGCATGGCTGCACTCAAACAACCACATCATTGTCAATCCCATGGGAATCATTTTGGACATTTTCTGTAAGTTAGCCAACAGTTTATTTAAAAATTGTTACCCTATGATTGCAATGTTTTGTCCAACTGAAAGTTACAAACAGACATAATATTTTTAGTAGATTATAGATTATTGATATTGATAGACTCACTGTTTGGTTAAATGGTTTAAAATAAGCAAGCTTTTTTCAATGAATTTAAAACTCTGAAACAAATAGAACATAAGAGCATAGAGTAATAGAGTTGGAAGGGACCTTGGATCCAATCCAATCTAATCCAATCGCTGCTCAAGTAGGCGACCCTATACCATTTCAGACAAATGGTTGTCCACTCTTTTTGAAAGCCTTCAGTGATGGAGCACCCACAACTTCTGAAAGTAAGCTACACCATTGGTTGATTGCTTGAACCATTAGGAATTTTCTCCTTAGTTCTAGGTTGCTTCTCTCCTAGGTTAGTTTCCATTTGTTGTTTCTTGCCTTTTGTTGCTTTGGAAAATAAGTTGCCCCCTCATCTTTGTAGGAGCCCTCAAATATTGGAACACTGCTATCCCTTAATCCTTCTTTTTATTAGACTATGCATAACCAATTCTTGTAACCATTCATATTTTATCTTCTAGTCCCCTAATCATTCTTGCACTCTTTTCCAGAGTCGCAACATCTTTTTTATATTATAATGACCAGAACTGGATGCAGTATTCTAAGTGGGTCTTACTAAAGCTTTGTAAAACAGTACTAGAATTTTATTTGAAATTCTTGTAGGCAAAGCAGATGTCGTGATGGAACGATGTTTCTTTTATAGCGCTCTATGGAAGTCTGTCAAATTCCCTTTGCCAGAGGGTTCAAATGGACCTAAACCATCCTGGGGGGATGGTGAAGAGAGGAAACCCCTGTAGTTCACAAGAAGATCGTTCACTCCTTGTTTTTACCAGAGGAAGCTCTCAATCTGGCAGAGAGGAACAAACGGCCACTGCGTGCCATCCAAGGCTGGGGAAGCCTGAAAGGAGAGAATGAGGAAGGACTGAAAATTGAAGAATGATGTGATGGCTGGATGAGAAATTTCTGATTTTTTTTAACTCCTGTCAGAGATGCCACTTTCTAAAAAAGATTGATCAACAGTGTGCTGAAAAAGAAGAGACATGGTTTTGTCAAGCTTCCATCCCCTGAAATAGCAGCAGATAAGCACAGAGCCAAAAGAGACCTGAAAGAACATATATTAATTGTTTGATTATTTGGATACTATAAATGCTAAAGGAAGAAAAGCAGAGTGATCATCTAAGGATTTAACAAACTCTATTTGTATTAAAATTTGGTTCTGGAACTTTAAAAGAATATGGTGTATACAACGCAAGCTAAGGGAAAGGAGTAGAAGAGAAACAGTGCATCAGCAACATCTTTTGGCCAGAGCAAAACCCAGAGGTTTACTGAGAAAATTATAGAGAGAGAGGGAGGGAGGGAGGGAGGGAGAGAGAGAGAGAGAGAGAGAGAGAGAGAGATTGGAAACAATATAAATTATAAACAGTGTAGCTCTTTGATTGGACACAGACTCCAGCAGCTGTATATTTGAGCAACTGGAATTGGGGAATAATAGAGGTTGCTTAAAAGACAAGAGAACAATTCTACATCGGTTTTGAACACTTTCCCCTGGAGATCCATATGAAATGAGTGGAATTGTAAAGGAGATAGATTAACTTTTCCAAAATGCAATAGACAGGATGGAAAAAAGTTTTAAGGAAACTTTGGAAAATTCCATACAAGGCTTAAAGAGTGAAGATCAAGTTGCCCAGGAAAATGAGGAGCCAATAAAAGAAAAGGAAAAATCAATAAAAGAAGTAAAGAAGGGAAAAGATAAAGAGGAGATAATAAAATAATAATGGTAGATAATTAAGTCAGGGGAAAAATATATTAAGAAGGTTGGATGATATGACTAAACTTCATGAAATCTTGATTCTATCCCTCTATTAATACATTCCAGGATTACATTAGTTTTTGGCTGCTGCCATACACTATTGGCTCTTGTGGACAATCACATAAATCCTATTATTTAAATGATTGTCCATTAGGAATCCAAGCTCCCTCTCACAATTATTGGTATTAAGCTAAATTTGCCTAGTCTACAACAATACAGTTGCTTTTTTCTTGTCTAAATGTAAAACTTTATTTTTAATTAACATTGGATTTCATTTTGTTAAATAGGGCCCAGTATCCAAGTCAAACTATTTTTGGATCTTGAGGTTGTCTCCTGGGGTGTTGATTATTCCTGGCAGCTTAGTGTTATCTGCAAATATGCGTTCCCTTTCTATTCCCTCATCTAGATCATTTATGAAAATATTGAAGAGTACTGGGCCTAAAAAAGAATCTTGGGTACCCTGCTGCTTACTTCCCTCCATGTAGATGTAGTTCCTTTGCAGACTAGAGGTTGAGTACAATTTGTCAGCCATCTGGTGGTGGTCTATCCCACATTTTTCTAGTTTGCCAAGAAGTAGATTTAACTTTGTTTGCTTCTAGGTTTTCACAGATTTGTTACTTGATTATTTTTTCCAAGATCTTCCCAGGTTTTGATATCACGCTAATTGGTCTTTATTTTTCTAGATCGTTCTCCCTACCTTTTTTTAAACATATGGACCACAACAGCTCTTTTCCATCCTCAGGTAATTTCCTGGTGCTCCAAGAATTTTGAGATATGTTTCAATGGTTTTGAAAACAAATCTGTAGGTTCCTTCAGAACTCTGGGATGTAGTCCATCAGGACACAATGATATGAATCTGTCTAGAGATGACAGTTATTGTCTTACCTTATTTTTGCATATTTTAATTGCATTCCTAATCTATTATTTAAGGTTCTGTTTTTGATAAGTAGTTGTGTTTTCTTTTTGCATGAAGACAGTATGAATTAAATAGTTCTGCTTTCTCTCTATTGCCTGTTATTCTTTGCCATCTTCTCCCATTAGTGGACTGATTATTTCATTGACTTTTATTGTTTGTTTTGTTTTGATGTGTTGAAAGAAACTTTTAAAAGTATTTTTGATATCTGTTGCAAGTCTTACTTTATTCAAAGATTTAGCTTTCCAAACTTCATCTTATCAGGTTCTGGCTACTTGATGATATTCTGACTTAGTCAAGTGTCCCACTTTTCATTTTTTAATACTTATTCCCTTTGACTAGAGGTTTTTATTAACCATGCTGATTTTTTTTTGTTTTCTTTTTCCCCCCAGTGGTATTGAAATGCACTAGGCTTTTATAATCGTATTTTTCAGTTTCCAAAGCTTCTTGAGTTGATTTCCCCTGTATGATTTTCATCCAAATTTCATGGATTTGTTCCCAAGCTCTGCCTGAGTTTGTTAAAATTAGCTCTTTTGAAGTCTAAAACATGAAAAGCAAAGCCTCTGGCAACTGCATCATTTTAGAACCTTGTTATTGGTTAACTGATTAGCAAAAAGTTCATTTTTTTCTTCTGCTTTGTTGAGTGGCCTGTAGTATGCACCTATGGCCATGACATTCTGTTTCCTTTTGTGTTGACCCATGTGTATTCTAAAAAGCTTTCAACATTTGTTAAGTGCATCTCTGTAAAGAGGAAATCTCTAATATACAATGCAAGTCTGTTTCTTTTGAATAGTTTGTATCCTTCTATCAGTACATTCCAATCAGTTTCATTCCACCAGGTTTGTTGTGTAACTATATCATACTTGCTCTCTTGTACTAGTATTTGAAATCCACCCTTTTCATTCCCTAAACTGAGCGCTATTGTTTAGGTATTTAAGTTCTTTATGGATGACCCTGGGTATGCTTTCTACATCTCCTACTTTGCATCTGAGGGATTTTTTTCTTTCTCTTTACACTTTGCCTCCATATTTGATTGGTTATCTAGTAGTTTTTGCTTTGAATTAGTTCCCAAGGTTCATGAAGATTGGTCACCCCACTCAATTTTAGTTTAAAGCCTTTCTGATAAGATGAGTTGATAATAATGAGCTAAGATAGAAAATGTTTAAGATAAACTCTATATAGTTACTCCTCGGCCTATGACAATTTGTTCAGCAATTATGGCAGCATTGAACAAATAGTACTTATGACTGATTTCCATAGTTATAGCATTGCAGTATCCCCGTGGCCACATGATAAAAATTAGACACTTGGCCACTTGCCTGCATGGGGTTTCAATATTCTCCATCTGCCTATCTCCCCCATGTATGCCTTTTTGGCTCCCTGCACTCTTGAGCAGGGGGGTTACTAGATGATATTGAAGGTTTTCTAACTCTGTTATTCTGTATTCTTATGCTTTCCAAAATACTATTTTGCTTGCTAACTTCTATGAAACAGAAAAACTATGGAATGGTACATTCCCCCAAAACTGCAAGCTTCATTTAAAACAAAAATCCAAACATGCAAAATAAATTCAATTAAACGTAGATTGTAATATTAGAAAAGATTTACTATTAAATCTCCACAGATTCAAAGAAGTGATAAATTGACAATACATATGCATGCATGCATGTATATATGGTTTCCTCCTTCTGAATACCAGTTCTCTATTTAGTATTAAATTTTCTAACCTAACACTCTGCTACGTATTCACCTATTCAAAGGCTTGAATAAAATCTTAAAATAGTTTCAAAAAGTGATCAAATAAAACTAAGCCTAATTGAATGAAAAAAGCAATTTTCATTTTTCAATCAAGTCAAGGATCTAAAAATGATACAGTTGCCAGAGGCTTTGTTTTTCACGTGTTAATTGCAGTGATCTGTACATTGGTCATAGAAAAAATGCAGTCCCTTTTGAACTATTTTTTTATATTTGGCAAGACATCCAAGTTCATTACAAATATACCATAAAATTAATTTAAAAAACAAATTTTAAAATTAAATCTTCCCAAAGCATCTATTTATTTAATATATTTCCACATAAAGATATTATTCCATTTAGTAAGAGAGATAAAGAAATAATTGGATTACCAAATAAAAACTATACTATTTACGTGGGGTATCATAAAGAAAATACTTGCATTCAGAGAACTTTTCTGCTAATTCTACCAACTTCTCTTACTATATGGCCTTAATAGCAATCAAATGTCAATGATTTCTCCTGCTCTGATTTGGGACAAGACATGAACCAGTTACGATATACATCTGGTGATGGAGAGCAATACTAGGCAGCTTGACAAAACCTGAAGTTTACTGATGAAATCTGCTGCCTGGGGAGACCTCTGTCTTGTGGTGGAGAAATGATGATCTCTAGGATGCTGGTATTGGTTTAACTGCAAACTGAGTCAGGCTAAGGAAATAGAAATGTCTTTTTTTTTATTCTAACTAGGGATGAGAGCAGTATATTTTGGCTGCTTCATTTCCCAGGGAAAAAAGAAAATTGTGCCCTTTAGTATATTCCAATATTGCATCCAATCCCCATATTCAATCATTTTATTTTGTTTATCAAATTTTGAAAAACTCCATCTCCCCCATAGATGAACTCTGTGTACAATAAATGCACTTACCCTTCCAGCCTAACATCAGGTAAAGATCTGTTGAGTGCAATAATTTCACTGGCCATTAAATTAAACTGGTTGATTTTAAACATTTCCTTCATTTTCTCTTGGTCTTCCTTAGCAATGGCAACAGGTTTCCCCATTTCTCCTGGACCTTCATGAGGTTTTTGCACTGATTCTGGAACTAATAAAATATTATCATAACTAAACAATTTAAAAGGGACCATAATATCTGTACTTAATATACTCCAGGGCTATAACCTTAATAAATATTGAAGAAATATGCAGCACTGAGAAAGCTATATGAAATAAACCTTGAAACTAAGGAGAGTGGAGAGTCAGCACAGTAAAGTAAGTATGGGGTGTCTTAAGTCCTGATTAGATTTTTGTGTCACTGCACATCAGGGAAAGTATGCATCTGTTATTTAGAGACAATTGCATAACTGTTGCATTTATACTTCTGCAAATGTTAATGATCTGCCTAGGGGTATTAAAAAAAAAACTTCCAAACAAAAAGTAGGATCAACCAATCAGTATGCAGAATGAGCACCTCCACACAATGAGAAACCGAAATTTGAAGGTATGCACATCAGTCTGTCTGCAACCTATGATTACCCATCAGCCTCTTCACAGCATAGGTATGCATTGACATGTACTCTGTTGCAGATGAGTCTAAATCAAGATTCAGAAGGGGAGGTCTTTGGAAGGCCCAGAGCAGATTGCACGTGGTTGTCTGGATTTTGGGAGGGAGGATTTTCAGCTCTGACCAGAGCCTCCCAGGGTCTCCTCTACCTTACCCTCTTATCTAAGACTCTGTCCACTTAACAACTGGAGTTCAGTTGTTTGGTAAAACAGTCATGTGGTTCACTTACAACTGCTTCACTTAACTACCATGATTTCAGTTCTAACTGGTGTCATAAGTTGAGGATTACATGTAATTATCCACCAAATTGCTTTATTTCTATTTGACTTCCCATTTCACTATCCACAAGTAAACATTTATTTTATTTTATTTATTAGAATTTGTCAAACAAAAATGAGAAAAATAATAAGAGAATAAAAATACAATGACAGGGACGATAAGCACTTTAGTGCACTTATGCACATCCCCTCTACTGAACACTTAAGTATGAAGCAAGGTCCATGGAAGTCAATTTGTGATTGAAATTGTGAAAACTTGTAGCAGGAGACGACTTAATTAGGTAGGGCAATATCATGATTGTCATTGGCAAGAAGCCAAAATTCACAGTGAACCCTATTTAAATTTCCATCTCTCCTTTATTTGAAAGCTCAACTTCAACATCAACTTGCCTCTGTAAACCTTATTTTGTCTTTTCCTCTTCCCCATTCTCAAGCACCAGTAGGACATTACATATCCATTCCAACAAAACTGTCTGTGACAATTTTGTAACCAATTATATATCCAAGACTATTTTTCATTTTCATTTCATTTCTTCAAAAAAGAAATGACCATTCTTTGGTCTAATAGTTAAAACACCAGCCTAAAAAATCAGGAGACTGAGATCTACTCTAGTCTTAGTCATGAAAGTCAGCTGGGTTACCATGGATCAGTCAACTTTTTATCAGTCCAATTCACTTCATAGGTTTGTTGATGTGGAGAAAATAGTAGTAGTATTTAGGTATGTTTGCCAACTTGCACTACTTTCGAAGTAATAAAGGCAGGATACAAACAAACAAACCGCTGCCAGACATACTGAACTACTTTTGAAAAAGAATGGAATTCAGTTTGTGATATAATATGGTTGGAAGAGATCTACCTCACAATTATTCTGGTCTAGATCACTTTTAATGAAAGCAAACATGCTTTTATCTTATTAGTCCAATCATCTTACAGTCATATTTCATTATAATTCAGTCTGAATTACTGTCAAGTTTTTTTCCCCACTCTGGACTCTGAAAGCTCTAACTAAAATAATACTTACCATCTCCTGGTGGAAGTCCCCGCTCTTTTTTTTCATCACATTTATTGCATTCACTGAAGTAAAGTAACATAAACATATCCAAAAGGACCCAAACCAATGAAGTGGCCAGGACCACCTTGCAATATGCAAATTTCCTCATGACACTTTAATATATACTTATTTTTATATTTGTTTTAATAGCACTTCTTGGATCCCACATCTGCCATCATATTCTATATCTATGGAAAAAGGAGGAAATATTAAATGATTGGAATAATAAAGCATTATGCTCAAAACAAGATTTATTAAAAGGTATCCAATTTTTACATATTATGGAAAGGTCCTCTGAAAATGGAAAGTACTTGAAGTATAGGCATTCCACATTCATATTGATTGTGAAACTTAAAACAATATTAGTAACTACTCAGAGTAAAGTAATCTGTAATTTCATTGTGAAAGTCAATAATTAAAATGTGATTTTGGACTTGCAGGGAAGAAATGATGGACTAAAAATGGCTCTATAAAAAATAGAGCTGAAGACTACAGTGGGATGAAGACTTTATGAGTAGATGAGTTCTTCATTAATTTCTCTCAAGGAGACGGCTTCAGATCATTCTCAAGTATTCCAGACAGCTTCTCCTCATGTGGAGACTATAAAATAGCACTCTCCAGTAGGCATAGAGTTCCAGAACGGAAAAGAATAGCCATCTTGCTCAAATCATGGGCAGCACATTTGAAAGGACATTAAGATTGCAAAATGTCTTTTCTAATTACTTTTGGAAATTGCTTGTAACAGCTTTCTAGCTATTAGGATCTTTTCATTGACAGGTTTAAAGCAGGGGGTAAGTTTCCACCAATTCTTAACAAAATAAGGTTTAATTATAATTTTAAGAACTAAAAAAAGGTTTTTAAACAAACTGCAAAAATCAATACAAATAAATCTTTATTTACAACCACAATTCAGCCCCAAATTTATGTTACTAAGCAATATAGTTGTTAAATGAGTTTTGCCTCATTGTATGATGTTTCTTGCCACAGTTGTTAAGAAAAACACTACAGTTAAATTGGTAAAATGGTTGTAAAACGAATCTGGCTTCCCCATTGATTTGGCTCATCAGAAGATCTCAAAAGCATGAGCTCGGGATATTGCAACTGTCATAAATACAAACCAGTGGCCAAGCATCTGAATTTTGATCACATGATCATGATTCCCATGATGGTTGCCATGGTTTTAAGTGTAAAAAATGGTCATAAGTCACTTTTTTCAGTGCCATTGAAACTTAGAACTGTCACTAAATGAATTGCAATTTGAGGATATGTGCATTTTGATCTTAGAAAATTACAAACAGACTGAGAATCCAAATAAACTTGAAATAAGAATTCTGAATTAATTTTAAAAATCTTTCCCATAGGAAAAAGCTTTTGTTTTGAATTTTCTTTAAAAAAGTGGATACTGGTAGGAACTAAAGATCATAATTAAAGCAGAACACTCAAACTTAACTTACAATTACAGAACAAGCAGAAAATATTTTAATGTTGGATATAATGAAGGATATTTCTGAACAATGGACCTAAACGTTTATTTCAAGACTGTGTTTAAAAGATATTATGGAAGAGGGACACGTTCTACTTGACATTTAAAAAAAATAAAAAACAGAAAACAATGGCAGCCATTATGGTGCCTTTTTGTGCCTGTGCATATGCTATCCTCTTTCATTTAATACTAAGTTAAAAAGGAGAACTAGTCTGGTACAGTGGTTAAGGTGTAAGGCTAGAAACCAGGGGCTTTGCAGGGAGCAAATGAGTAAGCTGATAACTTTTAAAGGTCCATGTGGTAGATTTCAAGTGAGAAAAGGAAGGTGGGGTGTCATACTGCAAAAGCAGTGTTACAATGCAAGTCCTATTCTTTTTTCTATGGATATCAAACTGCCAAATATCCACTCAAAAGGGAGATATTTGCAACACAATGCTATAAAACTACTATTGTCATAATACAGATCACCTTGAGCACACAATAGTTTTTTCAGCTGACGTCTGTTCAGTTACTGTTTTAATCTATGCAAAATATTGATACATGTGCAATAATGTGCTCGCATTTCATAGTTAGATGTTCTGATGACATAATGGATAGGTTAGTATAAATTCTTCTAAATTTGAGGGATAAATAATATCTTGCTATCACTTCAAAATGAGTTTCTTTTACTCACAATGTAGTATCATAACCAAGAGGGGGCAGCCAATTATAAACAATTAAAACTTTATTGATATAGTTAGTCATACTTGTGGATAATCTCTGGCAAGAACAGGATGGTGGTAATGGCAATATCCTTGCTCTTCTGGACCATTCAAGAACATTTAATATCATTGACCATGGTATCCTTTTGTGCCAGTTACAGGGACTGAGTATCACAAGTCTTGTGCTAGGTCAGTTCATTTCTCCATAACCAAATGTTGTTGTTAGGAAGTGAGAGATCCAGCCCATGGCCACTCTTCTGTGGCATGCCAAAGAATTCTGCACTCTCTCCACTCTTTTTAAAGATCTATATGAAGCCATTGGGTGACATCATGCATCACCATAGAGAGTACGCAAATGATATTCAACTTTTTATAAAGTGATGCTGCGTCTGTCCTCTCACATTGGGTGAAGGCTTTGGGGGGCTGGATAGGGACAATAAGCTCCAACTGAACCTTACAAGACCTAATGCCTTTGGATGCATGGACCCTCAACATCTGGGACTCTGACATCTTTAGCTATGGATAGAGTGGCACTACTCTAGGCAGGCCTGTCCACAACTTGGTGGTTCTCCTGGGCTTGCAACTCCTGCTCGAAGAACAAGTGACAGTCATGACTAAGTAAGCTTTTGCACATCTGGCCCCTCTAAGGTAAGATTGGCTCCCACCTTCCTGACCTTCCAAAAGAGCCAGAAGACCTGGCTCTGCTAGTTGACTTGGGATTGGAGATGGTTGATTAACCATTAGCAGTTCATACTTTCCCCCCATACATTCTGCTCCTTTCCTCCCTATCTTTAAGTTATAAAGTATATTTCATTATTACTTTATTGTGATTTTACAGATTTGTATATATATTTATGATTTATTTTGATGTTGTAAGCTACCCAGAATTGCTTTGCAACAAAATGGATGGCAAACAAATTTATTAAAATAAATAAACTAATGACATATAAGTAAATGATTTTTTTCTTTAAAACAATGAATTAGTACAACTCCTGCACACTATACTTAATTAGAAAACAATCATTCACTTTGTTAAAAAAAATTTCTTTTTGCATAAATACTAGATATTTCTTTTTTCCTCTTATTTTTCTCTATTTAACTGTGGATTGTGGTCTTCTCTGTTAATATGCCTCCTGCGTCTCCAAGTTCTTAGCTTTCCAGCTATCTTCACTGTAAACAAATGTTCAATTAATATTTTACTTGCATTCTATCATACCAATAAATTGCTGTTTTCTTACAGAAGTAAAAAAAAGAAATTGTTTCTCAAGGTAGAAATAAAAGAGAAAGGTAGGCCATCTATATTTAAAATTAACAAAAGAGAATGAAATTATTACAACTGAGTCTTATTACTTCAGTTCTTCATTGCCTCCCCTTAAGTCAATGCAGTAATATCTTCTTATGTGTATTACCCCATATTGAGCTGCTCCACAATTCTTTAATTTTAAAGAGAATTTTTTACAGAGAAATGTGCAGCAGAAATATACAAAATTTGTCAGTGTCAGGCGTTCTGTTTCCTGCTGAACATGCTCATAAACCATGAAATTTCAGGGGAATCCAGGGGTTTCCATAATTATATTCTCCAACCAAAAGTGGTTCAAGCCATTCTAGATAAAGCAACCATTTTTTAGGAGCTGTGTCCTTCGCTTTCAATAGCTTCTAGCTTAGATAATCTGCTTCTAGAAGCCAATGAATCAAACCAGAATAGTATCTTCCAGGGAGATATGAAACATTATGGAGTTCTCTGGAACATTTCCTTCTTGAATCAATGAATTTGTCGTTAGTGTAAGGAAAATAAATATTAAGTAATTTTTTCAAGTTATAAAGTTTATTTGAGTTCCAGAGAGAGTTCTTTCTTCAATATGCAGCCATCTTTTTTTCTGCCCAAGAAAGGACATAAAACTACTTCAAGCATGTCTTGAATTGTCCTAAACTTTCAGCAGTTTGAAAAGAAACTTGAATTTGTTTTTCAATGCCATTCTGCTGATGGTGATCAATAAGATGCAAGGCACTGAAATCATGGTCCTACTAGAGCATGGGTGTCAAACTCAATGCATCACATTTGCCATCACATGACGTTCTGTAACATTTTGCCCCTTTGCGGAGCTAGGGCAGATGTGGCCTGCACGTGGTGCATTCAGTCCCAGGGCCATCAGTTTTACACCTCTTCATTAGAGTAACAAAAGAATAAGATGGCAGATTGCAGGAGGGAAAGAATTCATTTGCTTATTAAGGTTAAGCAGTTGTGTTGTTATCCCTGGAAACTCTTATTGGATTTTTCTGAATAGATTTGAAGAGGTATGTGGAGATATATATGTGCTTGCCCTGTGTCACGGATGCTAAAAAAGCCAATGCGGTTTTGAGCTGCATTAACAGAGGGCTATCATAAAGATCATGAGAAGTGATAGTACAACTCTATACTCTATACTGTATTAATGAGGACAGACTTGGAATTCTGAGTCCAGTTCTGGTTGTGTGACATGATAGCTGTCTTCCAGTACTTGAAGAGCAGCCATAGAGACAAGAGGGTTGACTTAGTCTCAAAAGCACCTGAAAGCAGGAAAAGAAGCAACGGAAGCTCATTAAATGATCCTCAATGGAACTAAGGAGAAATTGTTGTGGGTGCTGCATTGCTGGTGGTTTTCAAGAAAAGATTAAATAGCTTTTTGTCTGGGGTGATGTAAGTTTTCCTGCCTTGGACAGGAAGTCAGGTTAAAAAGACTCCAAGGTCCCTTCCAACCCTATGATTCTATAATGTTCAGGTGTAACATCCCTACTTCTTCAGAGACCTCTTTGGTTTGTAATGTCTTCACCAGAAGTCAGCAAAAGTCAATTTTCTCACCCTTAATTTTTATTCTTTAATTTTAGATTTTTTTTTCAAGCCAATATTAATTTACATGAATTAGTAGTAGTAATTGAAATAGTTGCCAGGAACTTTTTTCTTTCAGTTAACTTACCAACAATTTAGAACTGAGGAAACCAAATAATTTTAAACACAAAGTACAATAAATACTGCTACACACATATAATTAACTAAAATAAAGTGCAAATAAAAGAAAATATATTTTCAAAATTGCATTCAAATGGATGAAATCACAAGTGATAATTTAATTATCTTTTTATATACTTTTAAATTAATTAGTAATTCATGTTGTAATTATGTATGGGCCTTGAATCTTTCAACTATATACAGTTCATATAGATTATCACTGAAAATTGTAGAACTAAGAATAAACTTAATTCTTTTTTCTCATAAATAAAGTACAATTCACAATTTAGTATTGGAGTGTTTAAAAAGTTTATATAGCTTAAGGGTTACATTATATGAATTACAGTAGCTGCAAATTCATACAAATATTCCTATCAAAACCTAGATATAATATACTATTATAGATTAGAAATAAATGAAATATTGATAAGTTAAAGGTATATATTAAATTTCAGAAGATGGCTCTGGAAAGCTCTGTGGAAGTTAAAACAGTAAAACATATAATTCAGTTTTAAGAACTGTAGCTTTAAACACCCTTTCAAATGCTCTTATATATATTTCCAAGTAAATTTCTATAAAACTAAAGTGCCAGGGTAGATTCATCAAGCTGTTAAATAATCCAGACAAGTTCAAATCTTTAACACTTAGCAGATCACCATTTTCCCTGGGCAACCTGCAAATTTCTATATGAGGAAACAATGAAAAAAAAAAAAACCCAAAACACTTAGAAGTACAAAATATGATAAAATATATGATGAGCAGCTCAGGAAAACTAGATTGTGAACTTTGACACATAGATGAGGAGTTCTACATTCTACTGCAACAATAAGAAAAACACTCATTAAATCCCTGTCAAAAATAATCATGCAATGCTTCTCAAGAAGCACTTAAGCCTGCCTTTTTAACTATGATGAAAAGGTAAGGAAAAGGTAAGAAACACTGCTATAGGGGAATAATGCAAGCAAACTCACCTCCATTAAGTTTCACTCTGCCCAAGAGGATCTGTCGCCAAGAGCGATGGGGAATAACGGAAATTATTCCAGAATCAGCTGCCTCCAAAATGTGTAAACGCCAGGGCTAAGCATAGGCTTCCCCTCACAGGTGGTGTCTCGCTCTCTCAAATGCCATGGGGACTTGGGAGCGCAACGACTGAGAGAGAAAGAGAGAGATGGAAGATAACCGATCACCTCCCATTAATTAGGATCGCCTCAAAAAGGGTGTTGCCCACCTATACTGACTCCTTCGGTACCATCCGAACATCATTGTCCCCGAAAAGGCGCTTTGCCCAGGCCTCACCGTTAACTCGGGTTCTTTTTCTTCGGCGCCACTTCTCCTTAGATGGCAGCCATTTGCTCTCGACCGGCGGGCGGGAGAGACGTTGACGGTCCCACCTAACCAGCACTCTTGTCAGCTTCGACAGCTCATCGCCTTGAGACCAAACTCACCATTTTCAGAGGACTGAACCCAGCCTGCAACGCCTCCTTGCCGTTTGAGAGAATATACTATTCCCGCCCACAATGGCCGGATGTATTGGTCACGTGATTCAGCTCGAGCTGCCCTCTCTGAAGAGGGCGGAAGTTGGGTGGCCGGGCAGTCCGAGTGGCAGATTCGTGAGAGAGTATCATAAGGGAGCATTACCTTAATCCTATCCGGTCCTATCTTAATGTTCTTCCACAATTTCCAGTGATAATCTATATGTAATTAAAACTACAACAAAGAGAATTGCATAATAGAAGAAACGTATTTATTTTCCCTTCATTGAAGATTACACTATTTGAATCGTCTTGACGGGTTTTTGTTTAATTACATAGGCACGTACAGGATTGCAAAACTAGATTTATCGTATAAAATTCGAAACAGTCAACTTCTTCTGTTGCTTTGTTTCATTCGGCAGGAACAAAATAATATCCCGCATTGCCTAGGATACCAGCGGCGGAAGCCAAGGGCGGGTTTACGTGGCATTGCTCGAGTCACTCAAGAGGAACAAAGCCAGGGCTTTCCAGCGGTAATCAGATTGGTGTATCAAAGAAAAGGGCGTAGCTAGCAAATATATAAATAGAGTACTGCTAAACTTATCCCTGTCTTCCCGCGTACACTTGGAGTGCCTATTTTTTGTCTAGTTCTGCGGAGTTCAATCATCCGCATGAGGTTGGTTTTAGAGGCGATGATTTCATGCTAAACAAATGCTAAATTATGATTGCAGAGTTAGAAGAGGATTTTATGCCTTCCTCCCTGTTCAGTGCAGGAAAGGAATGCAAATTAAAATACTGTATGTCAGACAGGAAAATATCAAATAATACGTGATAGATCCAGAAGGAGATGGAGAGACAACATCAAAGACACATTACAGCAGCATTAAATGATAATGGTTGAAACCATGTGAAGAGCAAAAACCAGAACTTTGTATCTTCGTTGACATCCGAAGCGGTAAAGTGGGAATAAAGATGTCAGACAGGTGGCTCTTGTGCACTGATGATGCTACCTAGTTTGGACAACAAAACATCTTCAAGAAAACAACCTCAGAGAGCACTCAGGATTTGTAATTTAAACCCTGAGCTACAAATATTCTCTTTTATCAGATGACTCTCTAACTCTGCCTGTGGACCTGCAATGAAAGAAATCCCCCAAATATCTTGTTTTTTTCAGATTTTTATGCAATCATGTTGTTCTATAGAAAGTTTTATATTCTATCTACTAACCTATTCAAATTGTTTTACATGTTATTTTTGTTTTGTGGCCTGTTATTTATTTTTTATTTGATTTATTTGTCTCCACAAACATTTTATCTTTTTAATCTAATGAGGAATCAATGATGAATACTCAGTACTGTTTTCATACATTCACTCCACATCACTCAGTCCATACTTAATTAGCATTCTAATCAGCATCATTGGCTATTTGTTAAATGTTTTGCTAATGCCAATATATATTATCTCTGCAGCACTTCTACAAGCTATTAAGATAAGATTAAAAAGATTTGTTTTTACAAAACCAAGGTGACTTTGGACAATTAACAAAATTGTTTTTTAAGACCCTAATAGAGCAGCATTTCTTTGATTTGCTCTAAATTGTGCAGATAATTACCGCATGCTAGTAGTCTACAGATAGCGTAATATAAAACAATATTGCTAATTCTCAGGTGCATCAAACATAACAAGCGCTAAGATTAACAGGAATGCAGACTAAGCCTCTAAGAATAAACAATTAGTGCCAGGAACTCAAGTCTTTTAGATATTTATGTTAAAATAAAACTTTAAACACTAATTCTTACAGTCCTTTTATTTAAACCAAAAGGTTATAAGGTATAAGGGAAGTAATTAGTTCATTCTCACTCCCCACTTTTATTAGACCTTCCAATATGTGCATGAATTAAATCAATCAGTAAGGTTGTCTTTATGAATGACATTGACACTATATCCTTACATGACAAATAACTAGTTTATTGTGCCCTATCAATTAAAATGTTATTTTGTATGTGTCTATAAAGAAAGCCTGTAACTCCACTTCCCTGCAGCCTTCTTTGTTTGACTTCAATACCACATGTATTAGTAAATCAATTTGTGCATCAGTATAATTGTTTCTTTGACTCTGGTTCAAATATACCCTTGGAAACTTCTTCAATTTCAATTTGCAAAGTAGATTCATTTGTCCACTGGGATTAACTTGTGTCATTATACCAGTATTAGAATAGTCCTAGTCCTAGTTTATTCATCTTTGTTAGCTTTTAATCAAATGCTCCAGAATTATATAAAAATATGAATTTTGAAAAATTATGAATTTTCAGAAAGGATATATAAAGTTACATGAGAATTTTTGCTGTGATGCAACTCATGCCTTATTTGAAACTGATTGAAATTTTATCACATTTGATTTAAAATGGAAGAAGAACAGAATGATAACATTTCTGTTAACTCTCATGAAACTGCTAAAGAAGTAACACAGAACTTGAAATTCATATCATTAATTGGAATGCCATTCAAAGTAATAAAGGAAATTGGTTATATAGGAAAAAGTGCCTGATTTAGGAGACAAAAGCACTTAAACTAATAGCAGTATTGAATCATACTTTCAAGAAATGTTTTTTACAAAGAAATAGAGGTCTCATGAAGAGCCAGAACCTGCCCTTTTGGCAGGCGGGCCACCTCTCCAGTGGAGCAAAAAGATGTCAAAGAGCAGCAGTAGAGTGGAGGGTCAGAAGGGCAGAAATAAGGGACGACAGGCATATGGGGAAATGGAAGTGAAGATAAGCACAGAAGAACAGCAAAAGTGTAATGTCATTGCTTAATGACCATATGATCATAACCTAACACCCAGGATGTTTCTGGACACTAAGGTCAGTTGGTTTCTGAGGCACTAAGGCACTCTCTGACACAATAAATTATAAATCTGTCTAAGATAAACTTGTGTTTGCTCTGCAAAATCATAAGTCAATCCATATTAACAGTTTTTGTTGTATAATCTTGTATTTATTATACAATGAGTACCAAGATGGGCTGTAAATTTCTTTGATTATCCAAATTTTGTGACTTTGCCAGTATGTGAGTGTTTAAAATATTGGCAAGACTAGGGGTCAACTGATGATAAAAGAGGGTTGTTTTTCCAAAGCTGCTAGACATACCTGGTTATTAATAGAAAAGCATTTAAATTTTGACTTGGAATTTTGAGACAATGCTAGCACTTTCTTAGAGAATAATTCTAGATTGAAAATAGAGATAATTTTTAATTGAAATTCTTGGACAAGATTAATACCTTGAACCAATTGATTAATAACATCACTTTTAGAAATTTGATACATTACTTTTGAATATAATACATAAATCACCTGTTTAGCAGTATTACAGTTAAAGCATATATCATTAAACAGCATGGATCAAACATTTTAGCAACTATTTGATGTTTAAAAATACTGTATTTGAAGTAAAAAGTACAATCTAATTTTACACAAAACTAAAAAGAAATAGGAAGAAGGTTAATACTGACAATGTATACTTGGAGTAAGGAATTAAAAAATCCAGTTTTGAATAGCAAACAAAACCATATTTTAAGAAATATAATTTATTTTTATGAACTAGAGATGAAATTAATTCATCAGAAAATCATGGACATGGACTTTTCAAAGAAGGTTTAAGGAATGTTGGATATTGGATTATTTATTCTGACATTGAATTATTTGATCACATCTGTTATTGGCTCTTTAAATGATAAATTAATGCAAGTCGAGAAAAATACAACAGCAAAATATTAATATTAACTTTTATTTATATTCAAAATATGGAACTTGATATTTTATGGAGAACTCTGGCTTTAACAAAACTGTGATTCAGCAAAGATAATTATTTTACATATTTGAAAAGATATTTATATTCCTAAATAATTTTTACTTTATTGAAATTTTATTTTTTGAAATATCTGTATTTTGTAAAAATAGGAAGACTTCAGCATATGATCTAGTTTTAATATATTACAAGATTGAGCTATCATATGGAGCCTTTTTCTTCAGTTTTATTCATTTTAATCAATAGCATATTGAACTTTCCTTTCTGATTATATTAATCACTGCTGTATTTTTATTACTATATTTAAGTTTCATTATTGTATTCTATTATAAATTACCAAATTAAAACGAAGAAAATAGGTTGAAAAAGTTTGATATTAGATGGCAGCTGAGATAATTTCCTTGTTGCTTCTAATGGCTATCGGATTTTAATGACTCAGATCTGTAAATAGAAGTAGTCCTCAACTTACAACCACAATTGAGCCCAACATTTATGATGTTAAGCGAAACATATGTTAAGTGAATATTTTTACAACCTTTCTTGCTACACTTGTTAAGTGAATTATCGCAGATGTTAAGTTAGAGACATGGTTGTTAAATGAATCTGGCTTCCCCATTGACTTTGCTTGTAGAAGGTTGTAAAAGCTGATCACATGACCTTGGCACACTGCAACTGTCATAAATATGAGTCCGTTATCAAGTGTCCGAATTTTGTTCATGTGACTGTGGAGATGTTGAAAAGGTTATGAAAATTGGTAATATAAATTATTTTTTCAGTGTCATTGCAACTTTGAACAGTCACTAAACAAACTGTTGTAATTGAGGACTTACCTGTATAGAAGCTAGCTCTGACTAAATCAGTGTTTAGTACATGCAATCACATATCTCTAATAAAACCAGTGTTTCTAGAATAACAGCTCATGAAATCTCTGCTACTTATAACAGTCTGCTTCATAAAATGACAAAATTGTTTAAATAAGAATTTGCTATAGCTGGCTGGAGAATTCTGGGAATTGAAGTCCACAAGACTTAAAGGTGTCAAGTTTGGGGACGAGCTTTGGCGCTCGTCGTTACTTGCGCTTTGTTTAGCTAGACCGGAAAAAGTTCTAGAGCCAGCTAACACTTGGTGACCTCTCCCTCTTTCCCGTATGCAGCAA